GCAATGGTAAGAATATTTTCACTCGGTGAAAGATGGAAAGTTCCATTCAACTCGGCTGTCGCCTCGTTGAATGGAACATTCCATCTTTCACCTCATGAAAATATTCTTACCATTGCACTCATAAACATTCATTATTTGTATATTATTATTATCATTGCCATTACCATTGTCTCTATTATTACACAACTATATATTAAACAAATTTCCATTATTATTATTAATATAACAAGATTCTACAATCGTTATGTTTTATCGAAACTCTCCTGGCATCTTAATATTACATCAATTTCAAAAACCTGGATTTCGGAAAACCTGGATTCTTTATTTACGCAATATGTTCGCAAATGGCTTGAGGTACCTATTTCTGGAACGCTGAGTAACATCTACATAACCAGCGACAAATTTGGTCTTAACATCACCCCCCCCCCCCCCATCAACTAAGTTTTTACAATGCCAGGTAACAATTCGGAATGCTTTAAAATCATCTCCTAATGAATCAATAATCCATCTCTGGAAGTCAACAACTAATCATGCTAATATTCAATACGACCAATACAGTTCGACGAAGGAAGTGATTAAGTCATTTCGTGATGTTCAAGAGGATAAATTAACAAACCAACTAACATACCAAGGCTCATTCTTTACCAGTGTATCAAGATTTTCCTCAACCCAAGTAAATACGATCTGGCAAGCCTGTTAGTCCAAATTGCCTAAAAACATTTTCAACTTTACCATTCGTTATATAAACAATTCGCTGCCAATCCGTAAGAACCTTCAAAGCCATGGGGCTATCCTCGTCTTCTGAATGCTCGTTCTGCATTAATCCTGAATCTCTATTATACGTCATCGCTGGTTGCAGTTCCTACCTCGATCGATTATTACTTGGAGACATGACTCAATTCTAAATTTCATTGCTGATAACCTTCCATCAGAACATATCCGGACCATTTATGCTGATACATTGTCGTCATTCTCTAATCTTTCTACAATCACTGGTGATGATTATCGGCCTGATTTACTAATTTTGACGAAAGACAATTGTCTGTATATTCTTGAATTAACCGTTGGATATGAGACTAACCTCAGAAATAACATTAACAGGAAATACTCCAAGTATAAAGATATGATTATGGAACAAAAGAAAAAGGGTGTGTTTGACAAGGAATCTTCTGGTTTTATAGACATGTTAGAACATTTCAATTTAGATAAAGCTCATGTAAGATACGTTATTAAAAAGATTATTAATATTGCAATAAGGTCAACCTACTACATTTTTTGTTGTCGAAATAAGAACTGGGTGAATCCGGACTTGATGAAACTTTAAAATTTTTATTGTATAAGTATGTATTTAGAGTAATAGAGTAAATTTAATCGTGTGTTATAAAATCATTTAATAGTAATATATCAAGTTGCCAATTGTAAATTACCTGATATAGTGAGATTTGCAGTTGTAAGTTTAGAAAATTAAATAAAGTTTCCATCAATACTTATATAATGTTCTGATTGAGCTTTTTTAATTTAGATACGACCCACGCATCCGAACCGTCAAAGAAATTATTACGATCAACAGTAAACGCATCAAGTAAAACAAAATCAAAATATGTGTTGGCTCCTGTTTGCATCACTTGTAAGAAAAAGTCTCTTGTGACTGGAACAGTAAGTAAACGTATTTATACTGATAAGCATGTTAAGCATAATGAACATGGTAACGATGATTTTTACCTATTTGATAGAACTCTCGAAAACAAAAGGAAGAACTGTTGGTGAGTGCAGAAACCATTGACGGGGGAAGATTGAGAGAAGCAGCTACGAGAAAAGGGGACGAAAGTATCCTTTTACAAATTGCTGACAAGGACTGCGCGGCATTAGAAGTAAACTACCACAGACGGTGTTGTCAACGATACACAAAATTTATAAGACGCACCGATGTAACAGAAGGCTAAGTGCAAATACGAGGAATCCTTTAAAAAGAAAAGAAAAATTAATTGACAACGAGGAGATTTACTACATGAAGAAAATTGAAGCGGAATTCGTCAGAACTGTTGCGACAATCGAGAACTGCGATGCATCGGGCTATAGGAGATTTCGCTTGAAGGAGAGGTTGATAAAAAGATTTTCCCAGCTGGTTTTCCAGACACCGTAATGAACGCAACAGAAGTGAGATATCATCTATGCTCAAAGTATCTGTCAAGGTGTCGTGGCGGAATATTACTTAAATGAAGAAAGTGAAACGTCGCAAAGTGAGATGGAGAGTGAAGATGAAGTCTTGGATGACCCGTTGTTAAAGAACCACGAAAAGGTGACTACACTGAAAGAGGTTTATGACATGGCCGTAAAAACCACGGGGCAGCGGGGACTTGAGCCCCCCTAACTTTTCAGTAGTAGCAGAGGGCAGAGCTCCCTATAAATTATAATTTCTAAGTGAATCTGGAAGTGAATGCACAGTTGCATATGCACGTTTTGAGTTTGCTTTATGATCTTAATATTTTATTGTAAAACACGAGATGAATAATAATGACAATTGATTAATTTTAAGCGGTTACATTATCCATGACAAACTGCGAAGAATCATATTATCCATACTTTCCTGCAACTTCCCCAATATATAGTTAATTAAATACACCTTCGCCCATTTAGTACTACTAAATTGTAAGCAAATTGTAAATTTCGACATACTAAAACGCTGTTTTCTGGCCATTTGAATTCTGTCAAAACTTCCCCAAAGTCCAGGAAATGGCATTTCAGAGACTCTAAATTTAAAAATTTTCTCAGGCCTTCGGCCCTCCTTCTCAGCCTCCCCCCCCAATCAAAAAGAGCTTCCTACGGCACTGCATGCTTCTGTAATATGTTTGTGCGTAAAATATGCGTATTTTTGTTTGTAAATAGCGTCTTCATTTTCCGGATAGCAAACACCTTCGTGGCTAATTCGTAGGCCATGAAATATTCGGAAATTTTTTTCGTCAATCGGAAATTTTTGGCCTACACCCACCCCCCCCCCAAACTACACATGCTAGCTACGGCCCTGATTCTTATTATAGTATTATACTATATTATTATGTATTGTAAAACATTTTTTCTATTTAGCTTCTCAGCACGTGCGGGGAATCTTTCTAAGGTGGGGTAGCCAATTGATATACCTAGATTGATATGATATGCCTCCAGGAATGTTTATAGGGAGCAACCTTAAATGCTACTCTTGGCCCCAGAGGCCTTTCATAAAAGGTTAACTAAGTTAATTAATTTATTTCTACTCTCATTTTTTTAACATCAATTTACGGAATGATAAAACAAACGCTTGTGATGGCTAACACGATAACCCTCCGTTCGACCGCGTGAAAGTAGCTTAAATTGGGTCTGGAACTAGTACCGTTCATCATATATTACACGAAGTACCCAGGGCAAAAATGGCGGCCATCTTGTTTCGAAGCCGTGAAAGATACCGAACTTTGGTGGCAATATACTCAAAAACTGCAGGTTTGTGCGAGTGACAACATTGAAATTCATACTTAGCGTGTCAAAATCTATAGATTTATATAAATTAAAATTAGATGGAGACCGATGGCAGCGGAAATATTTTTCTAGGCGACTTTTGAGGCCAAAGAATACGGCCTAAACTGATGTTTCAAACTCTTCGAAAATATAATATATAAAAATGTTTGAGCACGGAACTGAACATAATACATGCATGCATAGACTGTAATAAGAGCCTGCGGAGTGCGGTGCGGTGCATACAGTGCTCAATTATGCGACGACTTAAAACTATAAACAGAACAAAACGACAGTGGCGTAAGTTTGGACCATGCAGGCCGCTCCTGGTACTACCGGGATTGGGTGCCCCCAAGGCGGGGGATCATAGATATTTTGAAGATGGAGCTCTGACAACAACATGAACATTTTTCTAGTCGTTTAGAAGCCAATTTTAATTGATTTTTTAAACTGGAAATATAAATATATGGCAAAATATAAAGGAAACAACTATAAAATAGCACTATGCGGAAATTGTTTTTGACAGTAAAGAGTGAAGTGTGTGCCACTGTAATTATGCACATACATCCTCAATTAAATGTCTATTACACTACATCTTAAATTTTTCGCACCTGGTCTTTTTTTCAGCAAACTCATCGATCATTTTGTCAACGGAAAGCTTCCTTGCTTTGTCTACCTCTATTGAGATCATGGCAAGCGCCATGATCTCGCCAGGCAAATGAAATGGCAAACGCCATTTTTATTATAAAAAAATAATTATAATAACAACTAAAAAACTGAAAAATTAAACATGTGCGTCTCATTGAATACTTGCGTGTTAATGTTTATGCATTTACACCTAAAAAAATATATACGTACTAAATAAATCTCAATTCATTGTTCTATGCAAGTGAGCTATAAAGCAATATTTTGTCAAATAATACTTTTATAAACTAAGCTGGTAATTCTTTATACTATAGTATACTGTATTATAAAAGATACAAAAGGTGACTATTTTGCCGGCAGCTGGCACGTTTTTAGCTTAGATTTCATATTGAAAAAATATTTTAAAATATAACATTTATTAAAATTGATTTTTTTCTGTGTTGGTGTATTAAAAAATGTACTCATGTGAATATGATGCTTGTGATGTTTAATACTCTGAGTGTGCCCACACCGGGCAAGCATGAAAAATATGCCTGACCATGGTTACTGGGAATCGAACCTACGACCGTTGGAATACTAGCCCAATGGCAATGCTCTGCCAACTGAGCTCCGCGGTCAGGTCGGTTCGAGTATGTGATATTTCGGAACAGAATCTAGAATTATTAAAATTCTTACCATGAATTAATCGGTGTAAGTCCCTCGAGCCGTTTCTGATACTCTGCCATTTGCCTTTCTTCTTCTGCTTTGTTTTTTAAATATTCATTTAACCAGATCTCATCTGCGAGAGGTTCGTCCATGTAAACATTGGTAAAGTTACTAATATTGTTTGTGTCCGCCTCAGATCCGCCATGTTGGAAATCGTTTTCCACTTCTAGTTCTCCTTGTTCCTCATAATCCTCATAAATATTTCCAATAACTTCAGTTTCAGACTCTGAATTTGAGCTAGAACCTGATTTTGACATTTTTAAGTTTACTTTTCTCTTTTGAACAGCACGTATTTCTAGTATTTACATAAGACACAAAACATGTTTTAGGAATTTAGCCTGCGTAGAATGTTTTGACTTCGACACCTTTTCTTAAATGACGTCACAAGGTGGCTCGTTCCAGGCCCCTAGGTTTGTCAGACTTTTTCTGCAAATGGCTATGTTTAAAGGCGTATATCTTCCAAACGAAAAGGGTAATTGAAAAAGTGTAAAATCATATAAAAGCTAATTTTTTATGCTCTATTGAAATATCAAATATAACTCTAAGCGATTGTTCAAATGGGCCGGGCTAGCCGGGATGAATCGTGTCAGAATTTTTTCCTGACCATAAAAGATAGTTTAAAATAACTTTATATTCTTATTGGAATACCGTTATTAAAATCCGATGCATACATGATAGCTCTACATTATGATAGATATACAATTATATTAACTGATTGCAAGTTATTTTTCCAAAATACCTAGAGCAATTATAGAAAACCGACTTACTCTTCACATTTCGTTTTGTGTTTGTAGTGGAGGGCGTGTCTTTGAAGTATTCAACTCTACCAAACGAAGGTTTTGTACAGATAGTGACCAAATATAGTGGGGTCAAGACTGTTTGTTGGCAAAGTTTAACGAATGAGGCCGCGAATATTGTTTGTCGTCAATTGGGTTACACGAGAATGGCGTCTAATGTTAGTAAAGTCCCTCCATCAAATCAAGATGCAATATTTTCTGGAAGTATAGAGTGTAGCAGTGGAGAAAAAAACTTATCTCAATGTTCCTTTACCATTTTTGATGAAAGTTGTTTTGAGATTTCTTACATAAAATGTAAGTTTTACACAAATGAATACACGAACGGAAGAAAGCAGAGAAGACAAAGAACGTAACATTTATATCTTATATTTTTGGTTTTATTTGTGATAGATCTCTGCAATTAGAAGACAAACAAAGATTTCCAGATTCGTCATTCACTGCCTCAGCTTCTTCAAAAGGTCGCAGTCCCTCTGATGCAACAATATCTAGCGGCAGTTCTTGGTGTGCTCCTGTCGCGGATACGATGGCAAATATTATCTTCAAGTGGACTTAGGAAGACTTTATGTGATATATAATTTCGTAACATTTGGTGACACTACTAGCCCAAAATGGGTGACCACATACAATTTGAACTACACTGTTGATGGGATAAACTGGAAATCAGTTTGGAACCATGCGGTAATTGCTATTTACATTATTTTTAAGCTATAAGTACTATTTAAAACAAGAGTAGGAGTGTTTTATCAGATATAAAATGCGAGGCGCAGCAGGGTGTTTTATATCTGATAAAACGCAACAACGAGTGTTTTGAATAGATTAAAATTCGACTACAAAAGAATACTAATTATAGGATGAACAATTATATAATCATACTAATTAGGATGAACAATTATATTGAGAATACTAATGAAGATGAGTTTATCAGATATAAAGTCACTCCACGTGATATATTATGGCTGATATGATTTGCCACAAGGTTTATGAATTATTAATGAGTATTTTAACACATTTTATAATATATTTTGTGATGGGACGAAAACGGTATAACTTAAAAATAGTAATATTTCTTTATTGCAATATTGTCTTTAGATAGAGGGAAACAAAGTTGCTTACAATGATGCAGCCATACAAGATTTCCCTGAAGGCATAACAGCAAGAGCTTTACGTTTTATTCCATTGAGATATGAAGGTGAACCGTGCATGAGAATCGAGACCTGTGGTGCTAGTAAGTTATTATATTTAACTATATATATATTGATAATTCTATATAGTTTCCATAAAAGGAATAAGTGAACTATTCATATTTCGTTGCATGGAATTGTTAAGCTTCCATGTATATCACCAGCTGGTGTTATCTTTATATAATAGTAATGTGATTATCAGGTACCAATATTACCCTAGCTTATTATCGATAAAATTTCTTCCCCAGCACGACGTGTACATCCAGCTAGCTTATACAGATGCAAGTATAATATATCTTACACTTTCATTTCTTTCTTTCTTGCTCTGTTTCCAGATAAACCTACAAACCTCACGTTCACCAACATCAAGTCAAGAAGTGCTGAAATATCTTGGATAAACCCAGAGAACACAGGAGATGGAGTTCTTACAGGATTTTGGATTATAATAAAGAAAGAGAACTCCTCAATACTGAATATTATTACAAAAAAAGTGAAAAAATACAAATCAGATAATCTCTCTCCATACACTACATATGAAATATCCGTGGCTGCTGGAAATAAAAATGGTTTCAGTGAAGGGAAAACAACTTCGTTCACAACATCTGAAGACGGTAAGAATTAGATAAACGTGTTTATCACATACTTGTACCTTTATCAGGTAGGAAGCATCGGGACATAAAAACGATATCGTCCCGGATATCGTTTTTTGTCCCGCTAAATTTTGCACCTTGTCAAAACAAAGATGGCCGACTCGAGGTTCGTGTTGGTTGATGTCGACAGTTTTATCGAAGGAAACAAGAACGATAATACAAAACGAAAGACTTAAATTGTATATTATTTATATGAATTGTCTATTTATTTTCTAAAATCATATTTGTTCAGTAAATGATGAATTTTTTTGAATTCTAAAATGATCCTATTTTTTCAAAACTGTTTACTTTTGGGTGTCAAACCCTGATAAAGGTACAAGTATGTAATAAATAGGTTATCGTACTCGGGATTCGGTGATATCAGTTTTATCGCTCTCGGGACGATATCACAATTGTCCCTCGCTCGCTGCGCTCGCTCGTGACAATTATGATATCATCCCTCGAGCGATAAAACTGATATCACCTCATCCCTTATATGATAACCAATATATATACAGTTCCTATACTGGATGATATGTTACTCTGGGTGTGAAACTTTCTGTCCTTTGTCCCAAAATCAGTAAGTGTCTTTTAGATGCGTTGATGAAGATTGATATTTTTTATATTATAACACATTATGGTAGATATTAGTATGATCTTCGTTTTCTATTATCGACTAATTTCTTCTTAAACGTTTCTGTTTGCAAATGTTATAGCCAGTGTGCTGGTTCTGTGAGACTAGTTTTGTGAGATTAGAACAACTCTCCCACACATGCAATGGTGATATTCTCGCACACCATGGTTAAGATTCAGTAGAATTGTCATGCATTATTATCAATTATGAACCCCCTTCCATACACCTCAAACTAATACAACTTCTTATTTTATAAGAAACAACTTACCATATTATCTCAATTGATTTTTAGGTCCAGAAGGTCCTCCATTGAATGTTACAGTGATTGCAGACAGCTCATCATTATTATCTGTCACATGGGAACCTCCTAAAAAAGACAAAAGAAATGGTATTATCGTCAGTTATACTGTGTGTATCTCACATGAAGAAAGTAAACCTTGTTTTAGAGAATATGCTACAAAGAATAAGATGATAGTCATCGACAATTTGTTTGCCTCAACCAAATATTATGTTCGTGTTCTTGCAAGTACTAAAGTTGGTCGTGGATCCTACAGTGAAAGTAAAGGGAAATTTACCAATGGAAGTAAGTGTCGCCTTTCATTTAGACGTATTGCAATTTTATAAACATAAGGCTTGTATCATGTTTACCCAAATCTACATATTTTCTTACAGATCAACCAGAGGTGTCCACAAATGGAACAGCATATACACTGACTTTCTCATTGGAGATTCCTTCACGAAATTTCACGTAAGTCCAAAACCTTCCCGTGAGTGAAAAACCACACAGAAATATTGCATCTCGCGATAACGACCTGCACAGGACGTTAAGGCTGTTCTGTGAATTTACCTTGCGTATTTTTTATCAGATAGAAATTTATTTGTAGACATTTTTACGTCGTGGCTTTGGAATTAAAAGATGGACAGGAAAGTCAATCTCCAGCAAGTTATAGAAACAATGAGTTAGTGACGTACACTGAGGCAGAAAAGTCAACCGACCCAAAACCTTATATCGCTGCAATACTAACATCAAAGGATGAAAACATGTTTATACTTGGTGATGGCGGAAATACAAGTAATCCAACATCACGAAGACGCAGATCAACCTCGAGTGATTACTATAATGGTCCGTTGGAACCTGGCACTAGTTACAGTATTTTTCAAAGGATTTTTATTCATAACAAGGTGTGGTATTTGTTAGTTATCACACTTTAGAAACAAATATTTCCTTGTTTAAAACCTGGTTTACACTATCAAAATTGAAAGTGGAAAGTTTAAGTTCTAAGAGTTGAAGAATTTGTTGGAAATGTTTGAGGGAACTGCCTGACTGTTAAACACGTATTTTTAACGTACTTAGACAGACAAATATATTATCAACTTGTTTACTACAGGGTGAATATTACTCCACAGATTGGAGTCCTGCTTCAAAAACGAACGAATACTCAGGTACGTCATTTAAGAAAATTCTACTGATACTTGAGCTATATATCTGTTGTTATCCCAACAAAATATACTACTTTTACAGGAATTGAAAAGTAAATTTACGGAGACAGTACATTATTCCAAAGTTTTAAATGATTTTGTATATTTCTGTTTCCCAGGTGGCCCTCGCGTATTGACCAAGATATCCAGTGGTGACATAAAGGCAAAGGAAGGTGAACTTGTCAACCTACT